TCTGCGGTTACAATGTCTCTACTACAACTAGCATTACGAAAGTGACAACGAGTATTCGTTGATATTACAAGAGTGGCAACGAGTTTTCGTTGATAACACAAATCTCTCTCTCTCTCTCTCCTCTCTCTCTCTCTATATATATATATATATATATATAGAGAGAGAGAGAGAAGATATATATATATATATAAATAGGTATCAGAGGAAACATATATATATATATATATATATATATATATATATATAAATAGGTATCAGAAGAATGTAACATCAACCTGGGAACTTGAATCATGTTATAAAATGAAATCAGAACTTGACTTTCATATGGATGCGATATACAGTGCTGTTCGATAAAAGTGACTCACCTGATTTTTTTTTACTAAATGTTCTCTTCTACGATGAAACGAAAGTTGAGCTAAATTCAAAGGATAAGCGATCTAAAATCCGAAGAAGAAGCTTTGAAAGCTCTTTGAATTTAGCAGTAAGTACTGTCAAGCATCCGTTCAGTATAATGTTCTGGGGATGCTTTTCTTTTCAGGGAACTGGTTTCTTAAACCCTATTGAAAAGACCCTGATTTGACGACGTACACATTTTTGGTGATTTCTGCATTTTACTAAACTTTAGCATCAGTATTTTCAGAAAATGATACAGCAATCACTTAGCTTATATTAAAATAAAAAAAAAACATACTGTAATTTAGGGTTAAACGCTGGGAATAGCGATTTACAGATATCTCGATTTTTAAAATTCGACATATATTTAGTCTACTAAGTTTGTAAGGACAGAGGTCGAAGATGGAAACATATCACTGGCATGAAAGCGTAGAAAGCATTCCACACGCAATGACATAATCAGATCACCTGTATTTCTTCAACAGACTATTAATGGCAATCCCAGAAGTTCCATGAGGTCACTGGAGAAATATTTCTATGTGTCAGAAGAAACAATAAGTAAAGTGGACATTGAAGTCACCACCCAGAGGAACACGATTGCATTTAGCATGAAACAGATTTGCGTTGACTTCAACAGCCATTTTATATTTACATACTCTTGAACCCTTAAAACTATATTTTATCGTTCATATATATATATATATATATATATATATATATATATATTTAATACCGATAAAAATTTGTCACTTAGCTGATTGATGCCTATATAATTTCGTAGGCGGACAATCAAGCAATCGCTCTATCCATTCGTCAAGAGATGCAAACAATTGACTGTCTATTTTTTCATTTTACGTTACTTTTATATTGATTTAAATAATAATTTATGCATTTTTCTTGCTAATTTTTCTTCTTTCATTATGTGCGTATGTGTGTGTGTGCGTGCGTGGGCGCCCACGCGTATGTGTGCATGTGCTTAGAATATATATATATATATATATATATATATATATATAGAGGGAGAGAGAGAGAGAGAGAGAGAGAGAGAAATAGAAAGAAAGAAAGAAAGAAAGAAAGAAAAATTCATATATATTAAATATATATATTCCTCCTCAAGGCACTTGATGTAGGCTTCTGTGTTGAATCTGAAACTATCAGCAACAAATTCGGGATTTCTTTTCTCATCAGAAAGATCAAACTTTGTCTTCCGAGCTGTTGTACCTTCGTAGTCAGCATTAGAATCATCGAACTCTTTTCGAATCCTCTGCACTGTCTTCAGAGTGGAACCCAAGTACACTAAAATGTTGGTATTGAATCTTCCGGCGTGAATGCCAAGCAATACGGCATACCTTTTCAAAATTTATGTTTAAACTATTCTTCAACCGAATTTGGAAATCTGTTTAGAAAAAAATATAATGCTAACGAACTAGAGAAAACATGCAGTCATCTTTACAAAGATCTGTTATTTTCTTCTTTTTTTTTTTGCATGTCTCTTATCTGCACACGTTCCTTTGTTTACCTTTTTTCCATGTTCTCAATTTTTAATAATCCTTGATTTCCTCGAAAACGGCTTTTCACTCTCCATCTTGTAAATCTCCCCTATCTGACCGCTCCCGATGGGTTACGATAATCCTTTGTAATATTCATTGAATTAGGAACATTACCTTTTTTTTTTCTTTTCTTACAAACCTTCTCTATCTCTATCTGTCTCCAATTCCTTCCCGATGTATGCAAGCCTCTTGTCGGCTCATTTTATCAGCCGAACAGCAGCCATAGAAAATCGCCGCCAGCAATCGTCGTTTGATTTAGGCTCTCTTTCTGTCTTAAATCTCCATTTCCCCTTCTTTGTAACCTATTCTTTCTTTTCCCTTCATTTTTTTTTCGGTCGAGTGTCAATATGGAATAGGATTTCTGACTGCTCTGCTTCAATATGAACGACCGGCAGCTGTTAGGCTTTTTTGAGAGGGCGGTAAGGGGGTCATATTTCGGCCGGACTCCAAAACAAATATTGAGAAAGATGAAATCACGACGGTAAGAGTCACAAAAAACATTTCTCAATGGACATGTTTGCTGGCTCAGTAATTATTATCTCTATTCTCTCTCGAGCAGAACTTATACAGTAATTTAATGATCTGGAAAGGATTATTACAAATCTTCATAAGTGCTGTCTTTTCTTAGCCTCTTTAAAGGAAGAAAAATATTTAAGAATTCTGGTTTTTCTCAAGCTGTGCTGTTTTCTGAAATATTTCAGTTTGAAACACGGTCCCAAATTTTCCAAGTAATTTTGCGTTACTTCTACCATTGTTTAAAATGCATCCACAACAACATCCCCATCTATTTTTTTAGTCTCCTCAAACGTGTTGAATTTTCATATCCTGATAGGTTTCTCTGGAATTGTTATATCGATTCATCATTTATTACAGTTGAATAATGATTTTTTTTCTTTAGTCTCAGGTTAAAAATAGAAGTACAATCCAGCAAAATGTTATCTTTACCTTCGAATCAAGTACCCAATAGTACCCTATAGAAATGATAGTATTATAGCCGTTGTATCAAGCACGATAATAAAAAAAAGAGATTTCGATATTTTATAAGTCAATCAAGTTGAAGATGCTGTCAAATCCGCCATCCAATACTAGAAATAGATTGATTTCGATTTTTTTTTTACGGATCATCAACGTTTTGCGACTAGTTTAAAGCAAGAAAATATTTTCTAGACATTTTTTTGAAGTAATAATATTTTAAAGGTAAGAATTCTTACTATTTAACCCATAACTGATGGGAGCAGAGCTGGATTCATACTTTTCCTAGTAGTATTTGCACGTAAGTTTATATAACAAACCCAACTAGAATTGGAACGCGTCTCTCTGATTTCCAAATTCCGAGCCGTTATCCATTACATCATCCAGTTAGTGAGAAAAGTTAGATAGATTTTTCATACAGATAGAAACAGATTCAGATAGATAGATAGATAGATAGATAGATAGATAGATAGATAGATAATGAACAGACTGAAATAGATAGATAGATAGATAGATAGATAGATAGATAGATAATGAACAGACTGAAATAGATAGATAGATAGATAGATAATGAACAGACTGAAATAGATAGATAGATAGATAGATAATGAACAGACTGAGATAGATAGATAGATAGATAATGAACAGACTGAAATAGATAGATAGATAGATAGATAGATAGATAGATAATGAACAAACTGAAATAGATAGATAGATAGATAGATAGATAATGAACAAACTGAAATAGATAGATAGATAGATAGATAATGAACAAACTGAAATAGATAGATAGATAGATAGATAGATAGATAGATAGATAGATAATGAACAGACTGAGATAGATAGATAGATAGATAATGAACAAACTGAAATAGATAGATAGATAGATAGATAGATAGATAATAAACAAACTGAAATAGATAGATAGTTAGATAATGAACAAACTGAAATAGATAGATAGATAGATATATAGATAGATAATAAACAAACTGAAATAGATAGATAGTTAGATAATGAACAAACTGAAATAGATAGATAGATATATATAATAGATAATAAATAAATGAATAGATAGATAGATAATGAACAAACTGAAATAGATAGATAGATATATAGATAATAAACAAACTGAAATAGATAGATAGATAATGAACAAACTGAAATAGATAGATAGATAGATAGATAGATAGATAGATAGATAGATAGATAGATAGATAGATAGATAGATAATGAACAGACTGAAATAGATAGATAGACAGATAGAAACAGATTCAGAGAAATAGATAGATAGAAAGAAATTTCGAATCATCGTCCAAAATTTTTAATGTAATTTTGCGATACTTGAGTAATAGTTTAAAATGCGTTCACAACAACAGGAGCAACATCTATTTTTTTTTTAGTCTCCTCAAGCGTGCTATCGGATTTTTCAAATCCTGGTAGGTTTCCCTAGAACTGTTATATTGATCCATCATTTATTGAATTTAAATAATGTTTTTTTTCTTTAGTTCATGTTAAAAATACTAGTAAAATCTGCCCAGCAAAATGGTACCTTTATCTTCGAATCAAATACCCAATAGCAGTATATTAATACATAAATTAAACCCTATAGAAATAATAGTATTTTAACCAATTTTTACCGTTATTAAAAAGCACGATAGTAAAAATTAGATCTCGACAGTACACAAGTCAATAAAAGTTGAAGATGCTGTCAAATCCGCCATCCAATACTAGAATTGGATTGATTTGATTGTTTTACGTTTTATCAACCTTTTGCGGCTTATTTAATCCAGAAAATATTTTCTAGATAGTAAGATTTTTTTTTTGATGTAATAATATATTACAGATAAAATTTCTTACTATTTAACCCATAGCTGGCGGGTAGTAGAGCGTGGTTCATATTTTACCCAGTAGTATTTGCTCGTAAGTTTATATAACTTTGATTTCCAATTCCGATCCGTGATACATTACTCCATCCGCGCCTCCAAGTATACAGGACTTAGTACTCCCAGGCGGTAACCCATCTACATACTGAGCAAACTCGGCATTGCTTAACTTCCAAGTTCGTAGGAGACCAGGTGTTTCAACGTGATACCTTCCGAAAGCCTCTGAACATTAGAACTGTTGCAGGTAAGAACAGTTTCCATGGAAATAATCGATGGAGGCTGGCGAGACTTGGGCCGAATAGAGAAAGGTGGAAAATAATTTGTCACTCACAAGGTGGTGGTGTCGCTTTGGGCTCCATTGAGAAGGGAAAGTGAAGACTGGTCAGCTTCTGCCCATAGATAACAGCACTTGGTAATCCGAAGAGGTTACCCATGCTGACCAGGCCCGACGTTGCTCAACTTCGTGGTAACTCCGTAAGACGGGAAGAAAGAAGGAAAAAAGAAAGCTAGGCATGAAGAGTGGCGAAAGGAAAACAGTCAAGAATCAAGGAAAAGACAATCAGACACGGAAACGACTTTAGGGAGACACAGTAACACATAAGATGGCTGAGACACTCTGGGGACAGAGACTTCTGTAATGTCGTTTAAAATGGCGGGCGGCGAATCCGTTCCATTTGCAAAGCGTAATTGCCATACATACCAATAAGACGAGCAACGTTAGCGCAATACGAGCCGATCCGAAGCTGGAAAACCAGATCGAATACCTGCATACAAAGGAAAGAAATCAGGTAATAGATATTATTGTACCACGGAGAAATACATTACTAGAGGAAGATAAGGAAAATTACAACTAATCATTGCAAAAGCCGAAAACGTGAAGCGGGAAAGTGACTAATTATGACGATTATTATTATTATTATTATTATTATTATTATTATTAATGATAATAATAATAATAATATCGAGTTTTAACACGTGAAAAGTTAATGGTTTTCGTCTTTGAATCTTAATTTTAATGTTAATGATTGAATAAGCTCATGGCGAGTTCTACGACAATAAGATATGCTTAGAAGTACCACTATGATAACCTTAAATATGTGTGCTTAAAAACTTTATCGAAATATTACAGTAATAATTATAAATATGAATGCTGCTCGTTGTTTTAAGAAGTAAGGGGATACAAATGAAAATATTTTAAATTGGCAACGTTGTTCCCTTTCACTAAAACAGTCGGTAAGCACTTCGATCTTCCATTTCTTTCTTTCTTTCTTTCTTTCTGTCTGTCTCTCTTTTCTTCTTTCTTTCTTTCTGTCTGTCTGTCTCTCTTTTCTTCTTTCTTTCTTTCTGTCTGTCTGTCTCTCTTTTCTTCTTTCTTTCTTTCTTTCTTTCTGTCTGTCTCTTTTTTCTTTCTTTCTTTCTTTCTTTCTTTCTTTCTTTCTGTCTGTCTGTCTCTCTTTTCTTCTTTCTTTCTGTCTCTCTTTTCTTCTTTCTTTCTTTCTTTCTTTCTTTCTTTCTTTCTTTCTGTCTGTCTGTCTGTCTCTCTCTCTTTTCTTCTTTCTTTCTTTCTTTCTTTCTTTCTTTCTTTTTTCTTTCTTTCTTTTCTTTCTGTCTCTCTTTTCTTCTTTCTTTCTTTCTTTCTTTCTTTCTGTCTGTCTCTCTTTTCTTTCTTTCTTTCTTTCTTTCTTTCTTTCTTTCTGTCTGTCTCTCTTTTCTTCTTTGTTTCTAAGAAGCAATCACATGAAATTGCCTGGTATTGGTAGGAGATGTTAAACTCGTCTATCTTCTCTTTATTCTTTCTTTCTGTCTGTCTGTCTGTCTGTCTGTCTGTCTCTCTTTTCTTTCTTTCTTTCTTTCTTTCTTTCTTTCTTTCTTTCTTTCTTTCTTTCTTTAACTGAAACCAAATAGCCTCTTCTCTCCTCTTTCCAAGCGATCAAAACTGAACAGTCGTATTATTTATGGAGTAGTGGTAAGGCCTAACGTAACATGAGCAAACGTTTGTCACTTATCCGATTGATATTCCGTTCAGCATCAACCACCGACTCCAGAGTTTCGTAGACGGAACCGTCCGTCCAGGGGGTATCAGCAATTAACTGCTTATATCACTCATTTTTTTTTTATGCACTTATCGTTGTGTGTGTGGTTGGGGAGGGTTGTATGATTGTGAGTGCGACTGTGTGTATGTGTTAGAACCGTTACCGGGGAGTGAAGTGAGAAATATCTAAGTTTAGATTCGATTGGTGTCAACTAACTTAAGTTCAGTAAAGAACAGCATTCAAGTCAGATTGCGTCTGCTTTCAAATACATAAAATAGATGTTCTTGAGAATATGCATAGAATTTTCTTTGGAGAAGATTAGATACATTAAAAGAATTCTCTGTGTTTTTATTACCTTATTTTACAAAACACCCCCCTCCACAAATGCACGTCTCCAGTACAATATATATTTTTATTTCTCCTCCTACTCCTTCTTCTTTTTTTAGATTTCGTCGTTTAATAACCCATATAGATGTTGTTATGCCTCTAAACAAAACCAGCCAACCAACCAACCTACCAATCTTGTTCCTGTTCCTGTTCTTCTTTTTCTCCCTCTCCTCCTTTTTCTTCTTCTTTAGATTTCGTCGTTTAATAACCCATATAGGTGTTGATATGCCTCTAAACAAAACCAGCCAACCAACCAACCAACCTACCAATCATGGCTCTCTACAGCTCCTTGTCGTTTGTAGCACCCAGTAAATGCCGTCTTTTTCCCATATCTCCCAAAACCTGCTTCGCCATAAGTTCACTCAACCCCGCCACGTAGGTTATGCTTCTTTCTTTTCTTTTCTTTCTTTCTTTCTTTCTTTCTTTCTTTCTTTCTTTCTTTCTTTTTTACTTCTGTCACTCTCACCTTCAATCTGCCCTGTGTGTATCAAATTTTCCAAGCTCTCTTTCCTCATTGTGTATCAGAGCGATCCTATCTCTTTCTGATACTATGTATCATCTCATTTTTATTTCAATATTCGTTTAACGGAATTCTCAGCATCCTTCTCTATGATCACAATTCCTTTTGCTTCAATTCTGATCTCGTTTAAATTACGGTCAGTACTCTTTTCTTCACACCACACTAATGGCCTTGGGAAAGGCTTGGATATCTATTTCTCTAACAACGGACTAATTAGCTGGGGAAACTGATATATCTTTCCTTGGTTGTTGGCCATTTTTACAGAAGAAACACACTGAATTCAAACGCGATGACAACTGCGAGGAGATATCTCGTCCAATTGTGGACTACTTTTTTTCTGCTGCGAAAAGTGTGCCTGGTCCTAGATAATCCTTACCCCGTTATAATCAAATCGTGTGTGCGCGTAGTCTAGCTGTTCATTTTTAAACTGTACCTTTGGACCATTATTTGACAGAAGTGAGAAAGAACAACGTTAATAGGAAGAAAAATGATTTGCTAAAATGAGAAGAAATCAAACTTAATCAAGATGGAAAACTCTTTTTGGCAAACATGTATATTTGTGCGCGCCAAAAAAAAAAGGTCAGAAGGATTTTTTCCCCTCACACTGCTTTTATTTTAACTACCTTCGGCAATGTTTATTGCTTTTAAAAAATATTAAAATTATCAAAAAAACCTAAACATATGAAAATGAATTTATACATTTTCTTTGTTCTTGAGAATTGACAACAAAAATAATAAACATCTTTTATTATATTGTTGGAATTGTTGGGAAAACATCTGCTAATTGCCAATTGATTTGAACTTTAAAAAATGGTAAATAATCAGTTTTTCCTTATAGCTGGTTCACATTTTTTTAAATAATTTAACAAATGTTTATAAATTAATGAATAGAAAATCGTTTCATATTTATTTCGTTATAAATATTTTAATATTTATGTTTTGGCTTTAATACAGTTGTATTCCCTTTTAGAATGCTGTAAATATAAAATTATTCTTGCACATATATAATAAATAAATAGTGTTTAATATTTGTGTTGTAAATTCTAAAGGAAGAAAGCAATGTAGGAATCCACTTTCAACATATTACCAGGTTTTATTACAATTCTAACATCACATTTTAAAACAAACGTACATAGAAATTGGCTGTCATATATGGTCCGGTGCTCCCTGTTTTATAACTAAAATTCCTTCATAAAAATCAAAGAAGACTCAGCAATTTTATTGGTCCTAATCTGGCATATCAGGTTCAGTCGTTTTGTAATCGGCTCTGTCTATTCTATAAATACTTTCATGTTAATTATTCAGATAAACTCTTCGCTATAGAGACAATGTGGTATTATGGTGCATGTTGTAAGAATGGTAAGTAAGAATACGTTGTTATTGTGGTATATTTGAGTCAGTGATCGTGGTTAAATAAGATGTTATGACAGAAGAAGACCATTCTTTTGCCCATTCCTTATTTTGGCCATGTGCTACATTTCTGTACATAGCAGAAAAAATATCGCTCTTCGCTATGAATTTTACATATGGGGACTAGTTAGGATTTTCATCGAGACAATGTGGTATTATGGTGGATGTTGCAAAAATGGTAGGTAAGAATACGTTGTTTTGGTGTAAGGAATATTGTGGCATATTTGGGTCAGTGATCGTGGCTTTCTAAGTTTAATGCTACGACAGAAGAAGACCATCATTTTTCACCATTTCTCATGTTGACCTTTTGCCACATTTCTGTAAATACGGCAGAATAAATAACACTCTTCGCTATGGCACCTAGACTTCATGAATTTAAGCGTAATACTAGACTGGGGACGATGTCTCAGGAATTTACAATTGGGTTGGCCAGATGGAGCGTAAAGTTCAATGCTAACAGCTTCTTTTCTCGCACTTTCTACTTATGGAAATCTTCTTGCTTTCTAGTTAACTTTGATCTTTAAAAATTAAATGCAGTGCTAATTGTTATCTTCTGTCTTCTTAATTACTATTATTCTGGCTCAATGATTTCCAACTTTAATCGGCAAAGATTTAAATGCAATGTCAATCGCTATCTCTTTCCCTCCTGATTACTCTTCCTTTGTTCTCGCTCTTCAGTAATGTTTCTGTTTTCTAATTCTACGACACCCAGCGACCCCTTTTTTCTTAGGGGTTTTATTGCCTTGCTTAAGATGACCTTGATCAAAAAAAATATAAACGTTACTGAAATTCATTTTCGCCATTTTGTTTTTTAAATAAAAACCGGTGTCATTGGGAATAATGTATTTTTGA